TATAGTGCGAAATCTCCTCTGCTTCTTGTATACCAAGCTCTAGTTCGCCATCCTTATTCACCTAGCTGAGAATGACAGTACGCGTCACATGTTTCATTTCTGATGCTCTTACGATTCAAAGAGACTGAATACTTTCAGAAAAGACCTGGTCTCAAGAGAGATAGCCGAAACTTGCCAGATTTCCATGTAGTCTAAACAAATTGTTTTAACAGAATATACGAACCGTGGTTTACCCATCTGCTTTCTCCCAAATCACAACTATCCATACTGCAACGCTAACAGTGTAGATACCTCTTCCTTGAATGTATATGTATTAACTATACATGATGCAGACTCACAAAGAAATACCTCTAGCCTTCAAGACCTGTTGGAAGCCGTCTACAACTTGTTTCTCTAATGGCAAGAAATCATATCCACCAACAAGCTCCCTTGTCTTCTCATTGGAGAAACCAATTGAAACAGCAGTATCTTCTTGCTCACCTTCCGAGACTTGACCCTTGAGTTGTGGAAACTTTTCAAGAACAATGTTCAACACTTCTTGTTCAGAGTAAAGGTTGCTAGCAGGGAAGAGACGGTGGCCTTCAACATTGGATCTCTCCAAGGGGATAATGTGGAAAGCAGCGACATCACGAGCATCTGACGAGAGCAGACGAACATCATTGATAAATTTCTCACCTGGCTTGGTGTCCAAAATCTTTGTAAACACCTGGTTTGACTGGTTGAGGCTACCAGAGGCATCCTCATCAAAGACTTGCGGTCCGATAATCATTGGCGGACACACGGTGGTCATAGTGAAGTTCACATCATTGTTCTTAACAAAATTCCAAGCAGCCTCCTCGGCAAGCTTCTTTGAGACGCAGTAGGCGAATTCATCGTGCGTGGCATCCTTTTTGGTCATTGGGTTCCACACGTCCTCGGTGTGAATGAAAGTTGGATCATGAAGCCTTGCAGCATTCATAATACTGGCAAAGGAAGACGTTACAATAACTTTTCTAACTTTCAGACCATGTGCCTTGATGGACCTCAACACACCTTCAGTACCGTTGATAGCCGGGGTATAATAGGCCTTTTCAAAGTCGGCATAGCCCATAGTGAACGGAGAAGCTGTATGAATCACAGCTTCAATCTCTGGATATGCCTTAAAAGTCTGGTCAAAGGCATTCGGCTCTGCAATGTCTGCAACCAATGAAAAGCACAAGTTGTCAGCTTTGGAACCAATTTGGCTCTTGAAGTTTCTCAATAGCTTGTCAGCTTTGTCCTGTGATCTCACAGAGCCAACAACTCTGTAGCCTTTGTCCAGGAGCTGGCTGATGATGTGAAGCGCAAGGTAGCCAGAGGCACCAGTGACAAGAACTGTGCCAGCCATCGTGTCTCCGTATAAACAGTTCCTTGATTGAGATGTGATGATCCAAGTGAGCACACAGCTACAAACGTCGACTGTGGTTGTAGTATTGGAGTCTCAGATTGATACACCAACACAACTTTTGACGACGACTACAGTGAGGAAGCAGCAACCTGGTGTATTTATACTTCTGTAATTATCCAATTACAGTACAGTTTTCATTTCTTTTTTCCAGAATCTTCACCATACTCTGCTAACACTCTCCTTAACTGTAGAGAGAGGTGTACGTCCATTGACATTGCGCTTTGAGATGTATTAATAAACCACATACGCTAGCGAAGAAGCTTTACATGCGGTACGCCGTGGCCACATCAACAGATGCACAACACACATGGTACATATGCACTCCTGCACAGGGGACCTCTAACGGGGAATCTGTTGCCGTGAGCCCAATGGCAAGCCGTCCGATGAGGCGAGTATCAGTGCCTGGTAGGGTAGAGCGTGTGTTGGTGGCCGGAGACTACGAGGAACGTGCTTACATAGCATCTCCGTCATGGTGGCTGGAATATTGGGATGTATTACGACGAGGGAAGTGCCCTTGAGCACCTAGCGAATGTGGACTTCCCCTGTGTGAGGGCACACTGGTAGGAGAAGCCTTGTCCTACGCTGCTTCTCATGTGCTGTGCTCATCAGTGGGAAGCACCGCTACGAGAGGCCAACGTTCTGTAAAGGGTCAAGCAAGACTGCTGGGCCGTGATATCTTTTCTACGTTGAGCTGAGGCAGGCCCGTTATAGGCCAATCAATGGCGAGATGTCTCATCTGTAAGCCTTTGAATGGTAATTGTAGCCGTAATTGCCCCTCCTGAGCATCGCCATCTCCCCTCAGCCTATGAGAATCAAATAGTTAGCAATACAGAGACACTAGAACAATGGAATAGGTTTCCAACACTCCATCAGGGCCCACGGCTCATGACGCACACACTGTTTCTCCACTACCAGCAGTACATTGTATTCGAGAGTGGGTGACTTCAACGGGTAAAAGGGGGCGCAGGAGCTGTCCAACAGGTCGGGACACCGTTGTAGGCTGGTGAAGTGGTGATGCCAGTGCGGATTTCGGCTAATGGGCCACGGGTAGGGGGAACTCTGAGGAGGTGGAATAGAGAGGGAACAACAGTGCACGGTTGTTTCCCCTGAGTTTGGAACCAGCGTGCTTGGATAGAAGCTATACAGTCCTGTACAGGCTACAACAATACACCGTGGAAAACAAAGCAAGCATCTAATCCATCTGACTGCTCTGTTGAAGGGTTGATACTTCTTCTCCCTGAGCCTATGCGAGACATAATTATCAACACGTAGACATGCAGATCAACATACAGATAAAACAACGACAACGGAGCATTCTACTCCAGTTTACTTTTTCTCAAGGAGTTGTGCAATTTTCTCCTCGAGAGCTTTGAGTCTCTCGTCCTTCTCTAAGTTCGCAGCCTCAAGTCTTGTGACAACCTTTTCAAATCCATCAACGACTTGGGACAATTTCTCTATAGTGCCCTTCAAGGTCAATGGTTTGGAGGCTGTCTCAGTGGATGTCTCTGCAGGTTTTGTCTCCTTTGGTTGTTCGTTTGGTTGTTGCTTTGGTTGTTGCTTTGGCTCAACCTTTGGCTCCTCCTTTGGCTCCTCCTTTGGCTCCTCCTTTGGCTCCTCCTTTGGCTCCTCCTTTGGCTCCTCCTTTGGCTCCTCCTTTGGCTCCTCCTTTGGCTCCTCCTTTGGCTCCTCCTTTGGCTCCTCCTTTGGCTCCTCCTTTGGCTCCTCCTTTGGCTCCTCCTTTGGCTCAGCCTTTGGCTCCTCCTTCACCTGCTCTGGCTCATCATCCCATGCAGAATCCTTATCCTCCTTTGGTTCCTCTTCATCACCGTCCAGATCAGCAGCTTTCTTCAACAATGAGTTAACCTCATCCTTCTGGAGTAGATCGTCAACCTTGGACTTTGGTGGTGTCAAAGTAGAACGTTCAACTGGTTCTTCTTTCTTTGGCTCCTCCTTCTTTGGCTCTTCTTTCTTTGGCTCTTCCTTCTTTGGCTCCTCCTTCTTTGGCTCCTCCTTTTTTGGTGCCTCCTTCTTCAATTCCGGCTTAGACGATGGTTTAACAGTTGCCTCAACCTTGTTGTAGATATCCTCCATCGAAACCAGGAGTGGACCATCAACGTCCTTCCCACCGAACCACTCATCAGCACTCAATGCTGGTTTATCAGATGGAGCATCCGGATAAATATCATCCTGGAAGAAATCTGCCTTTCTTGGAACGATGAAAGAGATCGGTTCAATCAGAGAATCACTAACAGTCTTGTACACCTTCAAAACTTCATTCTCAGCAATGTTGACGGTTCTCTTTGGTGCTACTGCTAAACCTCTCTGAGCATCCGTGGACTGGAACTCTGACAATGGGAAAAGCTCATCGTCTTGGAACTCAAAGTAACGGATGTTACCATCACCTTTACCACCCACGTACAAGATATTGTTCGAGTCATCGTAGAATGGGATCAGGATACCAGCAGAAGAGTCAATTGTGTAGAAGCCACCAATTGGACCAGCACCAACGTTGGAAGAGTCCCAAACAGCCATTTGTCTATCAGATAGCTTGGAGAACCCAGTGGTACCAACACGGTCAGTGTTACCTAACCAAACCACTCTGGAGGCCTTTGCACCAGAGTGGCCAGCACCTTCGCTGATGATCTTGTTGGATCTGATATCCCAGATACGAAGCTTACGGTCACGAGACGTAGTTGCGAGCAAGTTACCGTTGTAGTTGAAGGCAAACGACGTCACCAAATCGTTATGCTGTAAAGTAATCTTATCCGTACCAGTCTCAACGTCCCACAGCTTAACGGTGTAGTCCAAGGAGGAGGAGGCTGCAACGTTTTCACTCGTTGGATGGAAGGAAACATGCCCAACCTTTCTCTTGTGACCGGAGTACAGGGCCACTGGCGAGACATCCTTGATGTTGTCGTCATCGTCAACGTAGTGGTGGAAGGAATAATCTTCAGGCACCTTCCACAGTCCGATCTTGGTATCATCGGAACCAGAGATGATCACATTGTCGTTGAATGGGTTGAAATCAGTGTCCAATACCGTGGCTGTATGGCCTCTGAACAGGGGAACCTGATCTGGAGCCTTACCAACCTCACCAATTGGAATCACTGCAAAGGCACCACCACCGGACGCGTTCCAATTGACAGAGATGTACTTGCCATTTGCCTGTTGAGCCACTTGTTAGTATCCACTGGACGTAGCTGAAGATGAGTCACATACCTTTATCAAGTTAGAATCCCACGCGTTGGTTGAAACCCTGATGTTATCGTAGCACAGCTCCTTCTTAGCAGGCTGGCCGTACACGTGACGGTACTTTGAGGCACGAACAAATCTACCACTGTTGTGTTCGGTGTGTTAGTACAAGCAGCCCAGACTGGGTAGAACACACGATGGGCACCCATCGTGTGTCCAGCCCTCCATCTCCTCCTCCCTCCACTGCCCACCCCTGGAGCCTCCAGAGGCCCTCTAGCTGTCAGCAGAAGAGACAAGAGCATTCCACCACACATACCTCATTTTCTCGATTTCCTTTCAACAACCTGTGCGAGTATGCTCTCTAATGACACCGATCTCAGGCCAATTGAGCACCCGTTCAGAGCGAAACATGGGTGTGTGTACCTTCCCTTCCTCCAAAGATTGCACCACTGTGCCCGGGGAGGGTATACCGTGGTGTGCGGGTGTTTTGCGGTTACGAGCGCGCGCAGCACTTTTAGCTTTTTTTTGTTTTTTGCTGGCCCAACCAGTTCGCGATGCCCTTCGAACAATTTTCGCATCGCAAGCGGAAAAGCCCACACGCTCATCGATCAACAAAACCCAGCGGTTTGAGTCCTCAGATCGATAGTTTTACACACGGGTGCCCAGCCTGTTGATTTGTTGTTGCTGTTGTTGGAAACATTCACTTCGTTACACCGTGGCTTGAGGCTCTGCCGAGTGTCCGTTGAGAGAAGAGAAGAGAACGCGTGTGTTGATACAGAATCACGGTGCGGTCTTACAGTATACGTTTGTGCGCTTTGAGGTGTTGTTGTTGTTGTTGTTGTTGTTGTTGTTGTTGTTGATATAACCGTCGTTTAAAAGAGAAACTGGGATGGCTAACCAGGCTGAGGATGATCGAGTGGTGGAGCTCTCGCGGCTCTTCGCACAGTCACACAAGCATCCGGGAGATAATGCCATCGAAGAGCGTGCCATCCAGGCCGCTGTGGACTTCATACACGAACATGGCGACGAGACACATCTGTTCTGTAACAGAACGTTGTACAGCGCTAGCATCCACGCGCTGGTGTTGTTTGCACTGGGAGAAGAGGATAACGTTGCACTGGACTGGTACAAGGAGAAGCTGTGCAAGTGCTTGGACTCGTGCACCAGGTGCATTGCTCTGTTCCACAGAGGTCGGGCGAGGTTGATGGAGACGTTTCTCACGGAGAGGGGGATATGTTACAACAACGTCAACATCCTGTCGAAGACGATACTCCAGTGGGAGGCGACAAGGCTTACAAGCAGATTCAGACGGCTCGTCGGTGAAAACGACATCAAAATGGGCGTACCAAGAGAGCTGCTCACGTGCTTTGCTGAGTGCATGTGCGGTCCACAACTGCTGGTGTTGAATTCAGAGCTACGAGGACTATTTGCGCATCTGCTGCTTCAGCTGCTGGCTTCAGATCACTCATTTGTGAAGACAGCGACTGTGGTGACACCTGGACTGGTGTACTTGGCAATTGAAGGTGACGATACTGAGAAGAAATGGGCATGTCAAATGTTGAAAGACCTGGGGAGCACGGAGACACAGATCACAGCTGCACAGGTGCAACCAGACCTGCTGGAGGAGATAGAAATCGAACTCAGGACAGTCGAGATCGCTTCAAGAGACAAGGAATTGAAGAGGGAGCGATTCTACAGAGGAATGTGTGCACTGTTTGAGGCCCTTGATCAAGATGCCATCATGCTCAAGGTGTTACAGATTGGCAAATCGAGGCCTGTGGATGTCGATAGAGACGATCCAATACTCCCCAGTATATTTGAGACTCTGAGGGATCATGTCATGTCGTACCCGGATCAGTCTTTACCGTACATCTTGAGATTCCTGGGATTGTTGTTAGGTAAAGTCGGTGAGAAGTTCTGGTCGCATATAGGTCAGTACACCTTTCAGAATATCATGGGTCCCATCACCCAGAATCCGAATCTGATAAAGAATCTCAGTATCTTGAGAGATACACCGAGCTTTGCAGGCGAACTTAACCCTGAGGCAAGGATATCCGATCTCTTGGACTGGATTGATAACTTTTTGTCTTCTCTATCTACATCTCAAAGAATCAAATCAGTGGAGACTTTAACCATGTACTTGATCACCCAAGTGGAATCACAACAGTCGATTCCACTCGATGTGAAGGCAAAAATGTTCGTAAAGGCGTGTACCATCTTGTCATCTGCATTGTCACTCCCAAGTCAACTGTACAGTCCTTCTTTAACAACAGACCTCTTGGCCAGAGGCGACACCAGAGTGGTTGTTGATACCAAACTGATCAGATTCTTCGACTACGGAACATCACAGGCCATATTCTTCCCGGAGTATAATAGAGAGAAGAATGCTCAAGTGATGAAGTCGGCAATTGAAGTTATATGTAAAGCATTGAGATTTGATATCCTTACATTTGCTCAAAATAGTTATGAGATTCAAAAGGGCAAGAAGCCATCAACGCTCAAATTCTCTCCACTTTTATTAGAGGCCATCTCGAAACAACAATTGAACCGTCAACTAGAGATGGCATTCCAACTGTTATGCTCCATGGAAAATGTGTCTACAATTCTTCCAGTCGGTGCTCATGTCGAAGAGGTAAAGATGTTTATGCGTTACTTATCTCAATTTTTTGTTAAATTCAGTGACATTGATGCTAGAAATACAAAGATGATTCTGTCCAATCCAAGGAGCCTTAAGGGTTATTGGGCCTGTGTTTTCTCTCCAGATGAAGGTGTCTACCAATCAGCAGTTGATATCTTATATGAAACATTTGATGCAGCAGGTAGATTGGAAGGTGTCCACGACTTATTACAAAACAATATCAGTTGTTGTCTTCAGGCTATTAATGATAACTTGACTAACCTAATCTTTATTGAGTTCTACGAGCCATGTCCTAGAGCTGTTAAAGTTCTCACTGATGTGATTCAAGGCTTGAACTCTCCCGTCGATGGAATCTTTGGTGAAAGTGAAACTTTTGATAAGGCAACAAAGCAATCGCTCTTTGAATTTTGGAACAGATGCTGGAAGTTCTTGGATTTGATCTACGTAGAGACCTTGAAATGGGCAGAGAAATACCCTGATCTTGTGGAATTTACAAGAGATACCTTGGATTTATCCCATGCGGTCCTAGGGTGCTTCAAAACTATTAAGGAACTTGATACCGACGGAGATTCGAAAAAGGTGTTCAACGAAATAACAAACACTTTCCCTCACATGCTGGTTTGGCTTAGATTGAGTGACCCTGGTTTGTTGTCTTCTTGTGTGAAGTTAATCTTCTCAACACTTGATATTGCCAGTGACCTGTCCTATAAGCTGGATACCAACGTTATTGAGCTGTTGGCAAAATATGCCTGTAAGGCTAAGAAGTTCAGTAACAGACTGACGAGTTCTCAAAGTGAAGAAATTCTGGAAAGAGCTAAAGTTTTTGATCCTGAGCTTGTTGACCGTGTGGTTCAAGAAACGGAGGAAAAGAAAAAGAAGAAGGAAGCAAATGCCATTACGGATGCACAGTCTTCTCGTGAAAGTTCAACATCAAGAGCTTCAACTCCAACTGGAGCACCGGTCAGAGGTCAATTGAAGATTGATAACTTTGGAAGCCTTTCAAGAGTGGCACCTATTGCTCCACCTAAACCACAATTACCAAAGTCTCAACTTGAATTGGCAAGAGAGAGGCTGAATGCGAAGAAGGCTGCGCTATCAACAGGGTCGTCACACAGAAAAACTGAACATGATGCTACAGATGAAAGCGATGATGATGGGGAGGATGCGTACTCCTTGTTCAACCTCAAAAAGCCAAACCAAAAGGCAGGTGGTATCACTGTTCTCGAAGATAAATGGAGTCAGCAACGTAGAATTGCTCAAGAGAAGAAGAAAGAGGAGGAGAACAGTAGATTGAGATTGCATGTTGACCTGAAAACTTTATACAAACGGGTATTAATGTGGTCTTTTATGAGAGACGATCCGTATCCAGATTCTGAACTATCCAACTTGAAGACCGTCATAGATAAGTTCAAAACTGCAGATGACTACATCAAGACATTTGAGCCACTACTTCTTGTGGAGTGTTGGTCAGCAATTTTATCAGCAAAGAATAGAGAGGACTATAAACCAATGATGATTTCTATCGGTTCCAAAAGCTCAGTTGGTGATTTCTTCGAGGTGTTTTGCAGCATTAGCCGAACCCAACTCAACACCATGGGTTTTACAGAATCGGATCTTGTGGTGCTAGCGTATAGCGATAAGGAGCTGACGTACGTACCAAAGGTATCTGATGTGAAGAAATCAACTACTTCTTGTTTAGGTAAGATTCAGGAAATCAAGTTTGTCAAAGGAGAAAGAGCCGACATCACCATTAGGGTATCTCGTACAGGATCTCTCAACAGTTGGTTGACTCCACACAGTACTCTTTTATTAATGCGCATCATGCAAATGACAACAATCGAAAGAGAATTCTCATCCCTTCATGGTCTACGTTACTATAACCTGTCCAAACAGATATTTGAAGCAACAGCCAATCCATCATCCACCATACCTCAAAAAGATATTGAAAATATCCGTGCAACCTATAAGGTTAATGACTCTCAAGCCAATGCCATTGGCTGCTCAGTTGGCACCGAGGGATTCTCCTTGATTCAAGGTCCACCTGGTACTGGTAAAACGAAGACAATTTTGGGTATCATCGGGTATATGTTGTCAACATTCAAGGCTCCGAACGCAATTGCTATCCCACAAGGTCAAAAAACCATGGACTCTCTAAAGAACTCCAAGAGCAGAAAGGTTTTAGTATGTGCACCGAGTAACGCAGCTGTGGATGAGTTGGTGATCCGTATGAAAGATGGTATCATGAACTCACGTGGTGAACAATACACTCCGAAGCTCGTTCGTCTTGGTCGTACTGACGCAATAAACTCTGCCGTGAAAGACATGACTTTAGAGGAGCTTGTTGATTCTCAACTTGGAAAGCCTTCTGCAGCATCTAACAACATGGATGGTCTTTTCAAAGAGCTTTCTGAAGTGAAGAAACAAATCGAGATATGTAAGGCCAAAATTGCAGACGAGAAGAACCCTGCGAGTGACGAAGTCTACAAAGAGAAGCGGGAGCTTACAAAGAAGGCCAACTTGATCAAACAGAAGATGGATACGGAGAGAGAGACCCAGAATTCTAACTACAGAAGCAGAGAGATCAACAGAAGAAACCTACAAGCCAAAATTTTGGGTGAAGCCGACATCATCTGTTCTACACTTTCAGGTTCAGCCCATGATATGGTTGCTAATTTGGGGATCAAGTTTGACTCTGTCATCATCGATGAGGCTTGTCAATGTACTGAACTCTCTGCTGTCATTCCATTGAGATATGGTTGCAGACGCTGTATTATGGTTGGTGATCCTAATCAGTTGCCACCAACCGTGATATCTACTGAAGCTGCTAATGCTCTATACGACCAGAGTTTGTTTGTGAGAATGGCCAAGAATATGAAGCCATTGTTGTTGAACGTTCAGTACCGTATGAATTCTGCAATTTCCAAGTTTTCTTCAGAAGTGTTCTATAATGGTGAATTGCACGATGGTCCTGAGAACGACCAGTTGACGAAAAGAATATGGCATGAAAACTCGTTCTTCCCTCCCTTCAGATTTTATGATATCATTGAAGGCCATCAAATTCAAAACCAGAAAACGTTCTCGTACACGAATGAGATTGAGGTTAAGATTGCCGTTGAGTTAATCAACACACTTTTCACTCTTTACAGGAATGTTGATTTCAAGAACAAGATTGGTATTATCACACCATATAAAGAACAGAACAGGCTCTTGCAGAGGATATTCATCAATCAGTTTGGTAACAGCATCAAGAAGGAAATCACTTTCAACACTGTTGATGGGTTCCAAGGTCAAGAGAAGGAGATCATCATCATGTCATGTGTGCGTGCTGATCCTAGCAGCAGAGGTGTTGGTTTCTTGAGGGATTTCCGTCGTATGAATGTTGCATTAACAAGATCCAAATGTTCACTTTGGATTCTTGGAAATCGTGATTCTTTGACAAAGAACGAGCTATGGAGGAAATTAATCAATGATGCCGATAGCAGAGGATGCTTCTGTGAAGCCAAACTCGGATTCACAAGGGCCAATGGTATCACCAGGGATGCACAGCATGGGAAGATTACAGATGTTTCCAATTCCCTAGCTGAGACTGAATCTAAACGTCGTCGGAAATCCGGGTTCAAGGATAAGAAACCAAAGCTTGATGTCCAACCTGGCGATGATTTAACTGTTCCCGTTCCTGTTAATCCTTCTCACACACAATTTAAAGAGAGGCTTAACACTGGAACGGGAAGAGGTGTTGATGTCAAAGCATCAGCTCCTCCAATCCCAAATAGCAATTCCACGGAGTCAAATGTGTCACTCGAGCCTAACAGTAACGGAGTTCTACCACCTCCATCTTCTACTGGCACAACTACCACTACTACAGTCCCTTCAAGTTCTGGTATAATCCCGAGACCCACTCCTCAGCATAATGCTCCATCTAACGGACCACGTTCGATGACACAACCTCAAAGAAGTGGATCATTACCACCAAGGCCAGCAGCTTCTGGATCTTTACCAATGAAGCAGCCATCGCATACGCGTAAACCCGAAGGCAGCATATTCATACCAAGGAAACGTACAAAGCATCGTCGATAATGCCAATAAAATTAATAAGCATCTGAATAAATACATCGTTATTTCCACCATAACACCAAGTGTATCATCATTCGTCCCTACTCCTCCTGTTTGATGACTTCTTACCAGCCAAGTTATCCTTCAGCCTAGTGCCCAATGAGGGCTTTGTAGCTAAAGCAATTGGAGATGCGTTCAACCCAATGTTGTTCAGTTCTGGTGGTGAGGTTGACAGTGTAGGCTCTGCCTTTGATAATGTTCTTGCTGTAGGTAACTTCACTCTCTGAGAAGGTGTTGTGGTATTCCTGGACAAAGATGAGCCTTTAGCTTCAACAGCCTTGGGTCCAAGCATTGTCAACCCAGTTTCAAGAGTATGAATCTCTGTTTGTAATAGCTGCTTCAGAATGTCATTCATCTTACTAACGTCATTAACTCTTGACCTCAGCAACTGTAATGAGTCTTGTAATAGAGATTGAAGTTTCGCCTTGATCACTGCGTTATTACTCAAGGCACCAGTCTGTGACTTCAACGTGAGTTTAAGATCATTCTCTAGGTCTGACAAGATTTGACATGCATTTTCCCATATCAACAAGCTGTGTTCATAGACCTTTTCCTTTATTGAATAATCATGGCTTGCATCAGACAGTGTCTGTACCTGTCTTTCAATTATATCGATTATTTGCACAGGGTCGTAGTTAGATTCTCGTGGGAGTGACTGTGAAGTAAATCTCGTCAAGAAGGAGCCCAACATTGAGGACTTTGGGAAAGGTCCATCGTTGACTGGAGGCGCTGGTGCTCTCCCAGCGAACAGTTTGGCAACGACATCCCTTTCAGCTCTATCTATATCCTTCAAGGACTGTAGATGAGAGCTCGTTCTACTTTCAATGACGCTCTGGGATCTTGTAATCTCCAAGTTTAACGCCTTCTTTTTCGATCTGAGCTGTTTCAACCTCGTTTCCAAGTTCGAAATCTCTAGATCCAAGTCCTGTAACTGATCTTGCAATTGTCTCAGTCGTTGTCCCTCCGCATTATCCGTACTCTGTATATCTTCAACCTCCAGTGTGAGCAACCTCCTAGTGGTTTCCCATTCTTTAAACGAGTTTAATACAGCTTGTTTCTGAGAAATCTGTGTATCGTACAGCTCAGTGATTGCCTGATACACCAGTGCCAGGCTCTTGAAGGAGCGAAGAACATTTTCCCGTATATATTGGGAGCTTGTACCACCTTTAGAAGCCTCCAGATGCTTCATCATCAAATCATTCAACCTCAGGTTCAACGACTTCTCCTCTCCCAGTAAGTACTTCAAAGGCTCATCAGTCTGAATATCGGAAGTTCCCATAGCAATGTCGTCAACATTCCTCTGTAATGAGGACCGTGTCAGTGAATCGTACAAGGGTAAAGACTGTGAACCTTCTGGCCAAAGGCCTATACTGTGATCCATGAAATGATGTTGTTGGACAGGCAGTTGGTCATCTGTGAGTGGTGTTCTTACGCTTCTATTCGTTCTTCTCATACGCTGGCTGCCCATTGCCCTTGAAAGGGTAATGTCCTCGTACTCATCAGTGGGTGTTGTGGGTTCTTGTATCGTATGTGTAGTACTAGGGCTCTTGCTCTTGCTCTTCTTCATCTCCGAGAGGGCGTCCGAAAAGTGCCTGATATCCAACTGTGAAGGGTCATCCACGAGCTCTGTAACAGAGCCAGACGCTGAGTCCAAGCACGTCTCGGCTCTCAGCCCTTGTGTAGCACCATTGGAACCGATATCGTTATCGTTATCAACACCACCATCATCACCAACATCATCACCGTCAGTATCATCACCATCAGAGGTGCTTCCCTCCGAGTAAAGCGAAACAGTCCTATACGCGTTCTGCTCCATCTCCATAGGCTTCAGCGACATCTTCTATTGTGTTTTCAACACCAGAACATAGTGCAAAGCATCCAATTGTGGGTCAGCTAAGGCCAGTGATGGTGCACACGCCTAAGCACCGGGGCAGGGTGCTGACTAAGCAATGTGTTCCGAAAGAAGAAATATTCGCGGTGACGCCACATCACGTGCGGGATCACGTTTGGCCCGGAATTGAGCCAATTCCGAGGTTTATGCCCCAGGTGGAGGCGGCGGGTGGGCGAGGCTTGAGAAGGGTGAAACAGAGCTTTAACGGGTATAACAGTGCTTTGCAATTGCGTGGTTATTGTTCTATTGAAACTGCCATAGATGTCATACTTCTTCAAATCACCGCTGGACCTCGAGATACGATTCGAAGGTGAAGACTCTCGTCAGCAATTCGAGGTCAAGTCAGCGCAAGGGAAGAAGGATAAGTACCCTCTGTACGAAGATGGGGAGTCTGTTGTTGGTGAGGTCACGGTGAGGGTTAAGGATGGTAAGAGGGTCGAACACACCGGCATCAAGGCACAACTGTTCGGGTCAATTGAGATCTCCAATGGACAGCGAGACGACTTCCTCTGTCTGAGCCACGATTTGGCCCCACCGGCAGAGCTGGACCACAGTGAGACCTACAAGTTCAACTTCAAGGACGTTGAGAAACGGTACGAGAGTTACAAGGGCAAGAACCTGAACGTTTCGTACTACGTGAAGATTGTGATATTCCGAAAGAGCGCCGATATCACCAAGATTAAGAAGTTTTGGGTGAACATCTACTCCAACCCTACAGACTTGAAGAAGTCGATCAAGCTGGACATCGGGATTGAAAACTGCCTCCATATCGAGTTTGAGTATTCCAAGTCGACTTATTCGTTGAAGGATGTCATTGTCGGAAGAATATACTTCCTGCTTACCCGTCTGAAGATCAAGCACATGGAAATAAGTCTCATCACGAGGGAAACTGTCGGTGTGCAACCAAATCAACTAAGCGACTCCTCCACGATAAGATATGAGATCATGGATGGATCACCAGTGAAAGGAGAAACAATACCAATAAGAATGTTCTTAGGAGGTTACGAACTCACACCAACTACAAAGACTAACCTGTTCAGCGTAAAGAATTACATTAGCTTGGTCATTATCGATGAAGATGGAAGACGGTACTTCAAGCAGTCCGAGATTGTGCTGTTCCGTACAAAGAGTTGAACTCCTCTCCTCCCTTCCTTTAGCTCATAAGACCAAATGGAAATATGAATCAATGTCAGTGATCAACTTATCAGCGTAGTATAGCTCCTGTGGTTGTGAACCACATCCGTTATCGGCGTTGCTGATATCATTCATCTTTACTAACGATGCCACTTTGGAGTATGATGACTGTAATGCGGAAATCATGGACTTACTAATAGAGCCATTGTTCTTCCTTGAGATATGTAAATCAGAAGACATGGACAAATATGAATGACTGTCAACGTAATCATCGACACAAGCTGTTGAGGTTGCTGTCGTTGTGTACAACTCCCCAGAATTGATCATGAATCCAAATATCTCTGTTCTGTGCACAGCTTCCAGGATTCGTTTCAACTTGCGTGACTTGTCCTTATATTCTTGACAAGTGCTGGTGATTCCAAGATCAACGAGAAACTTATATCTATTTGATGACGACGACACCTGATCCATCATCTCACTGAGCAGATCCAAACCGATAGCAATGACAACGTCACTGTTCCCCTTTGAAAGCACCATGCCAATCTGTCCCAAGCCCATCACACCCAAGTGCAACCTCTGTACTTCAAAGCACTGCTGGATCTGCCTGCTGAGCAGCTCAACCTGGCATGTGTTGAAGTGTCTGTCCAATATTGCAATTCCAAATGGACTATTGGACAGTAAGTTCGTCATACAATCGTTATCCAAATCGTAGAATAAGCCAAAGGAGTACAAGTCTTCAAAATACACTTGGAGAATTGGATCTGTCACACCACCAACCAACGCCACATGTCTTGCTAGCTCCAATAGATGTAACCTTGTGCTGACTAGCCCATGTGTCAAGTAGTACGGTTGTACCGTTTCACGATCGCTCAGTATCGCCATACGGTCTATACTCAGATTCATCAACACACGAACATTGCTCAAGGCTTCGTTCTTTGACCTGATCCATTTCATACAGCCAATCGACTGCAACGGATCCCTTAGAGCACTCGGACCAGCGATTATAAACAACTGATCCGCTAGTGAGCACTCGATTGCGCCCTTGATAACGTCTCTCTGGACGAGTATACGATCACCAGTATGCTCGTCCAAGGGACAAAGGAACTCCCGAATCACCTCAGGTTGGCTGATCGCAACCTGTGTACGTTCTATTGATCACAATGTTAGCGGTTGTATACTATATATCGCTTATAGTGCACTACAAGAGTCAGAGGTATCAAAAGCTACCTGTGAGCGTTTCAGTGGGCGGTAGACTAACACCGGAACCAAGTGAGGGCATTCTCATATTCCGCTTTCCCTATACAAATGTTGGTGCACACGGTGGTGATGATGATTTTGGAAGGGAGAGAGAACGACCAGCGGGTTGTTTATATAGCGAAAAAAGTGTTGAAGTTATCCGAAGCCACAAAAGTGTGAAAACAACAACAACAACAACAACAACAACAACAACAGCAATAACAACGGCGCTACGCTTCAGCAATGAACCAAAAGAGATCCGAAACACTGATTAGTATGTGTACAACGCTTGTCTCACAGCAAAGAAATGGACACTAACACTTGGGGCGCTATAAAGAAAAGGTTGAAACCAATACAGAGCTTCTAATATCGAGAATGCAGACGATTATTGCACTCTCGGCTTCGACGTCAGCTCAGGAGATTCAAGCATCGGAGATGCTTCAAATCGAGTCGAATGCCTCGATGATTGTGAGGCTCGTGGAAGAGCTGCTAAGTATATCGAGAAACCTAAAGGAGAGCTGGATTTTGGGCCAGCTGCCAAAGTCTGAACAACAACAAGACGTTGTTACTCAAGAGGCGCAAGGTAAAGTGGACGCGTTACTACAGAAGATCCTACAAAGCAAACACTACAATGAGGAGATCGGACTAGACGAGGAGTTTGAAAAAGAGGAGCAGGAGGAGGACACAGGCATCAAGATAGAGCAAGAGGAGAAGATACCCGATGAGCTCATACTGCCTGTGGAGACAGACTCATCGGTGGTGAAACAAGAACCACCTGAAGCTGCACCACATACAGATGAAATAAAGCAGGAGCAGAAGGAGAAGGAGGAGGAGAAACTCGATGCGGATGAAGACTTAATCATGAAGGATGGACTACCGGTTGATACTTCGCAACTAGTTGATCCTATGGATATGAGTGACGGTGGTGCTACAAACGTACTCGGTGATTATGATTTCGATAACTTTGGGAACATGGACCGTGACGACGATATAATGATGGGATAGGTATCTACACGTGTATATTGCAAACTTGTCAATATTTATAAAATCGTATCCATACTAGCCATAAAATCATAAAACAAGGGGAAAGAAAGAAACAGATAATCAACAACAATGACACCTCGGAAACTTAAACCACAACAACAAAAGACACATAATAAATCGTCCAAAGAATATAAAACAGTAGAAATCATTTCACTGAAGCACGTCTCTTTCTGGATTCCTCCTCTAGCAAACTCAGCCTCATGGCTTCTTGGATCATTTTCTGTTCAATTTCATTCTCATTTGATTGAATCAACATGTTGCTAGCGTGAATAGCACTTGCAGCTGCAGCTCTTTTGGCCAATTTGGCCCTGGCATTGTTCAGGTTCTGTTCCCAGTCAGGTCTGATGAAATCAGTTGTAATTACTTGTGGGTGAGTAGCAGGTAAAGACCCACGACGTTGTGTTGCTATACTCATTGCACTTGCCATAGATGCCTTTCTGAAGTAATTCTCTTGGACTTCAAACGCATTCAGATCTTCCTCGTCCGTAATGGCATCAGTGGTGATATTACCGTTACCGGATGATTTCAGTGGGGATTTGAACAACGCAGGAGGGATACCTCCCAACCCTGTACGGATGTAGGCCGGTGGTGAATAGATAACTCCAAAGTTTGGAGTGGCACAGTAAGGACAACATGCATATTCAGAGATTAGTAGGTTTGGATCTTGTTCAGCTTTCGCTTTCTGGTCTTCACCGTTGTTGTCTCCTTCATCATCATGGTCATGTGGGAGATGCGGTTCCAATCTTTTGATCTGTACAAAGCATTCCGTACATATCGCATGGTTGCAACACCGTGAATAGTTCAGCCATCTTGGATAGTAGAGAAAACAAATTGGACACTCGACACTTGTACGGTACAGCTCTAACTTCAAATCATCCGATGCAGCTTGCCTCGACGTTGCTCTTTCTTCGAGATAACGCTTCTCCTCTGCAGCTTGCCATTCCAGCTTCTTCAACTTGAGTTGCTTGTTGAATTTTTTGGACAGGTGACGTCTCAACTCCTTTTTCGATAGTAGGGATTCATCAACAGATGCTTCGTCGTATTCAAGATCTTCATCTTCGTCTTCCGCCTCGTGCGGTAAAGCGTGTAATTTCAAGTTGCTCAACACCGCCAACAGATCTTCATCAGTCCAGGACGCATCAAAGTCCTGTAGAGGAGTATAAAAAGGTGCCAATTTCCTCTCTATTATAGCCTCTTTGACAACGCTGATCTGGTAGTCCAAGTTCAAGTTATAAGTACCGTACGGTGCGAGATACCCTCCATCAACGTTCTCGTCATACTTCACAAGCAGACCACGGGCGTGCGCCTCTTTGAGCTTCTCTCTCTCTGAGCGGCTAGACCGTTTGACCTTTATCGTCGGTCCACGTAGCGAGCCACCGATGAGGCCGCCCGTGCCTATGCTTCCAGTGAACGAGCTCCCACGACGGCGTCCGCCACGGTCCTCCTTTGCTGGAACGTTACCCATGTTGTTGCCTTTGCCTTGCCCTTTCCTTTATGTTATCTTTTGCCTCTCTTCACAAAAGATCAGCCTGTACAATTCACCGTAGCAGCGATTGTCAGTGTTCGTTCTTTCCTTTGTTTCCCGTCTTTCTTCCTCTTGTCGAGTTGATCTCACGGACGTGTCTAATCACAACCTATCAAACCGGCGTGTTTATGAGTTAAAAGATATCTGTGGGCGGGAGGCGGAGAGTTCGTTTAGCTGAGTCGACTACTGCTCTCGGTCTCTCTCTCACGATCTCTGTTTTTCTGTCTCTCGCCGTCTCACTGGCTCTGTTCCACTGTCGCTCTTTAGCGCCCTGTTTGCAGAAGGTTGTTTACTAAGCTGATTTTAACCATGGATAAGTTTTCCCTGCTGTGTCTTTTTTGTTGGCTCCTCAGCTAATGCCCGCGGAAAGTTATCATGAAACCAAACACACACACAAGGCCGTTAATCAGTTTTACACCGAGATTTGGTACCAAATGTCGTTATTCTGGGACCCAAGGCACCTCGTATGAATGCTCTCGCGATCCGCCGTGTAATTACCAGCAACCGCCCTGGTCATTCGGCTTGATACCTCTACAAAACACCACTAGAATTACCCCCCAACGTGAAACCCCCCCCAGTAAAGGCCCACAGAGCCGGTGGGTTGATAGGTTTAGTGTCAAAGCTCTATGTACTTGCTGCGCACGCATGGGTGATTTTTAGGGATATTCCGAGCTTCGGTATTTAGAAGTTGTCAGCTTTTATTATACTCACTTGTGTGATTATGTAAGCAGCGTGTTCTTCGAGCCCGTACTGGTCATCAACTCGCTTGTGAGATGCCGACACCAAATCCAACACCGATCATTGCGAATGCTATCAGCAGCCATAGAACGCCTGTTCCAAGACTGGTGTATCTCTTGATGTGGGTGGTGTGGCCTATTGCGTCATCCAAGAGTCCGAATCCTAGGAAGAAGAACAACGGTGGTATGATGAACGCGATGAGATATATCACTATAAACCACCGGTTCAGTGCCTTGGTGCGCGCTGTTGATATGCTCTGTAACTCCCGATCGTATCGTATACGCTGTAGCACGGAGTTGTCTGAAGGGTAGTCGTCACCTTTCTCGTTCAACAGCTGATCGTTGGAAGCAGCGTCATCGTCCATGGACGATGCCGATGCCGATGAAGGACGCTCTAACCCAGATGGTTCATCTCGTTTGGGTTTTAAATGCATTTCCCTTGCCTTAAATGGCGTAGGCTTTCTCTGAAAGGATCCATCTCGAAGTTGATTCGGTTCAAAAGCCATATCATGGCTAAGTGGACTCGTCGGAGAGTGGATAGAAGGTACAATCCCGCTATAGGCTTCAGATTTAACAACAACAGGTTGTGGAGTACCAGCCTTTTGTATGGCAATACGTTCCGCATTTTGGATCTGGATCAAATGTGGAGTTCCCCTCTGTCTGCGACGCGTTTCCTCCAATTGCCTTATAGAGTCCTGCGTGATTGATCTTAGGGATTTCGAAGACCTCCCACCACTGGACGAGTCCTTACGTGGTGCCTTACCATCGTGAATTTCCCTCAATAGTCGCAGGTTATCCACGCTAATGTCATGAATCTCAACTACGGTCCCAGTGGCATCTTCAACAGCACCGCTGGATGTAGTTGGAGGCAATGGAGCTGCAAATTCTGGAGTCGGAATCCTAGGTATCTGTACTTGTGGTGCCTGAGACGGCCGTGATCTTTCTGATTCAGAGCTCGACTGCGAAACTGGCTGTCGTATACCTTGTACCAGTGACTCCCTAGAATTACGTACACTGTCCCCACTGTTCGAGCTTGAACTATGATCCTTGACCGCTTGTGAGTGTTTCTTTCTCAAGTGGAACTCACGTAAGGAACCAGACCGACTCACTCCATGTCCTTTTGCAGAATATATTCTCGAATTAGAATCAAGATCTGCCAATATATTGCTGTTATTTGGCTCATGGGTCTGCTGCTGTTCTCGTTGTACATGACGCATGCTGAACGACGATAATCCACTCAGTGAAATGTCCCTTGTGGAATCGTTACCAGATTCATCTATAACGTCTTGATATACGGAGAAGCTTCTGAGAGCACCATCTTCATCGATATAGGACTCTCTGAACATTGACCTTCTGTTGGAGGAATTATGAGGGTTTGAAGACGA